TTCACTGCTGGCTCGGTCGGCCCCTTGATCGGAGCACGACGTGGCCTCCCGCCGTCGCTACCGCGCGGCAGAGCACCCGTGCGGCACCAACTCGGTCTCACACACGGACAAAACCAGCAAGCCAAGGAAAACCCTAGCAAAGCAAGCAGGAGCCCCAGGCTCACGCCCGCCATCAGCACAGTCAGGCTCACGTATTACCCCCAGTCGTGACTCCCAGCGTGGTCACTGGAGTCAGCGCGCTCTCGTCAATCTCCCGCGGTGCCTCGCACAGCTCGGTCGAGCTGCCCTGCACCGCTGTGGGGAGTGACGCGGCCACTGCAAGCAACACCTTCAGCAGGTTCGAGTGGGCCTGGAAGTCGGTCGGCATGGCCCCGACTCTATCTAGCGACCCTCAAGGTCCCTGGCACGGGCACCTCCTTCAACCTGCAGCTCTCGCGGAGCCACTCGAGGCGTGTCCTCGGCAACACCTTGGTGCCGAGATCCACCAGGTTGTCGCCCCCTGCTACAGGCTCGATGGCGATGACCTTCTTGGCCACCAACTGCTGGATCCAAAGCGTCTTCGTGGCAAGGTGTTTGATCCACCCAGTGCCCTGACACCTCGCCAGCGCTCTCGCACTTGAGCTGTCGCATCGCCAGCCCACGCGCACGCTGTAGCCCATGAACGTGAAGAGCGCCTTCAGCCCAAGTCCCTCGCTGAGACATCGAGCTCCAGCGTGCCACTCGGCTTCACAACTGCAAAGGGACTGCACGCCTTGACGACAGCGGATCCGGAGCACCGGACATCCACACGCTGTGATGTGCACGATGGTCTGGCTCTTCCACTCCTTCGCGTCGCCCGCCCAGTCGGGGGCTGCCCACGCGACCATGTCGACGATGCCCCGCGGCGTGTTGGGCTTGGCCATCCTCACGCCCAGGCCCCTCGTGCCCTTCAGGTACCTTGCCAGCCTCTTGGGGGCTCGCATGTCCGCCTCACGGGGCGAGGAGATACACGAGGTCAGGTAGTTGGTGTCAAACTGAGCATCTGCACGGCCGTGCAAGTAGAACAGCAGGCACACGGCCACGCTCCTGATCAGCTTAGCCTCGTCTGGGCCGAGGTCGGGCGCGTCATCCCTGCCTGTCCTGCGCGCCTCCACCCCTGGAGTGGCGGACGGGCTGCCCTCGTCAAGGCCTAGCGCCTCCAGCGCCTTCGTGAGGCACTTCTCGTTGGGCTGAATGTAGGTAGCGTCGGCCTCTCGCACGCGCCGCCTCTTGAGAAACTCGTAGTCGGCACCGTCGCCCTGTAGGCCTGACCACTTCACCTTGATGTCACGGCCCAGGTCCAGCCTGAAGCCGGACCCTGCGACCCCAGGGGCTGTGCCGTACATGTCGCCCATGTGCAGCTCCACCAGACATGGGAGATCGGCACGCCAGAAGAACTGAGGCGCGGTCGGTGACCGCTCGACACCCCTGGCCATGAGCTGCTCCGCAGCGAACTCGACCCAGCGCTTCCCTCAAGCACGCCGCCCTGGCAACTGCTTCGCGAGCTGCCAAGCGTAGTCCTCAGTGTCGCCCTTCGCGCGGCACTCTTCCAGGACTTTGGGTGGGCACTCCACCCACGCGCCCTCCTCCTCGGGGACATGGTAGTACGCGTCCTCCACGTCCACGGTGAAGGTGGGCCATCCGTGCTTCAGAGCCACATAGTCCACCACTCGGCTGTCGGCCATGCTGGTTCAGGCGCGAAGAGTTCGTCGCGGCACTCCTGCCACTCGAACTCTCGCGCGACGTACCTTGACTCAGCGATCCTGTATCCGAGGTTCGCGTCCCACTTGTAGACATGGTCCCAGCGGGCGCTGATCCTCGTGACGGAGGCCTCGCTCCGTTTGACAAGCTTGCCCACCCCGTACTGCTTCAGGCCGTCAAGGGCCCGTTTGGTGGAAGCCTCGATCAACTGCGAGTCCGACGCATCGTGGGGATCAGGGACATCCATGTCCCTGAGGATCTGCAGGAGTCAGGCCGCACGTCATCACAGTGCTCAGCCGCTACTCCGCTAACTCGGGGCCTCGCAAGAGTGCTTCGGTTGTCACCCCCCTCCGCGGGTCGCTTCGGCGATCGACCTATCGGGAACGTCAGCGGAGGTGCACTCGCTGGTGCTGCGGCCCGCGGCCTCATGGGGGCGCCGTCCCCAGCACCGCCTCCAGCCGACTTCTGCGTCGCTGGCTCAGCCTGCCTGTCCCCAGCAGGAGCCTCGGCGCCGCCCGACACGTCGGCCGAGGGCGCCGCCACGGGCGCGCCCGTGTGGGATGCTGGCCCGCCGCCATGGGCGGTCCCAATGGACTGGGCAGCAGTGCCCGGGGCTGGCTGTGCCCCAGCTGCCTCTTGCGCCGCCAGGTCGGCGTCCGCAGCGGCAATCGGCTCGATCCCGCGCGGGACCGTGCCCTGCCCTCGGCGGTGCCATGGCATATGCGCGATCGCCACCACGGCAGCGCGGTTGAACCTCCGCTCTTCGGCAGCCTCTTGACGGTCCTCGTCGTGACTAGCCCACCCGTCTCGAGGGCGCAGATGTGCTCGTCGGTGTCGCAGCTCTTCCCTAGCCAGACCGCCCTCGCGAAGCCCATGTCACCCTTGCGGTACACCTTGCCTCTCGCCCTGCGATTCTTGCCCCTGGGTAGGCGCGCCAGGACGGACTCCCCTGGGGTGGCCATCTCCCTGGTGTAGGCGTGGCCGGCGCTGCAACCACTTGTACATGGCCGTTTCTGGCCGGACCCTGGTCCCCAATCGTGCCTCCAGCGCGCTCCTGCTCGTGCGGAACTGCGCCTGGATGATGCCATTGGCATTCTCGGAGGGGTTCGACTGGGAGCTGAACGCAGGTGCGGGTCTCACGACCACACGGTTGGTAGCTCCGCCTCGGTCTTGTTGGCCAGGTCCATCATGACGTCCTCGCGGTCTGGCCTTTGGATAACCTTCTGATGGAAAAAGCTCTTGATGAACGCCACCGTGGCTGCCACCGTGTAGGGATCAGCGCGTCGGTCAGACTTCGGGACGCTGCGCACGGCACCTGTGTCGGCATCCGCGATCACCAGTACCACTTCCTCGCCTTGTCTCTGGCCATCCTCGGCGCGGGGGCCCGCCTCCACGGCGTCGGCCGCCTCGCCCTTGAAGAATGCCAGGTCAAGCCCAATAACGGGGAGGTGATCCACCTCCGCGTCAAGCAACTCGCGGGGCCTGTCGCGCCCACGTCCCATCTGACAGTGTGCGCACACCATCCCATGCACATCCCACTCGCGATGCCGTCCCTGCCTCCTCCTCTCGCTTGTGATGGGGCCGAGCAGGCTGATTTCGAGGATGTCATTGGGTCGTTTGCTCCGTGTTTGCTCTATACGGCGAGAGTAAAGACTGTGACCACCGATGCAGTTGTTCTTTCCTGTTCCCTGCTTTTCCTCTTCCGCCCCCTCTCCCCCGCCGTCTCTTGCATCGCGTGCGCTTGTAATCACGTTGGCTCAGGGCAGTCGCAGTTGGAAGCCCAGGAAAATACTGCTGAGATCAGATCTCAGCCAAGTTCGGCGATCGGACCTCCCCGCTCCCGAGCAGATTCGCTACTGTACACACATTCCTTCTATATTGTTTCATATTGCTTCTCGTTTGCCATTCGCATTATACTTGCTCCGCTGTCTGGCAACACATTGGCGTTCGCGTGCACAATCAGATGGCGCGCAATCCGTTCGCGCAGGCGCAGCAGCGGGCAGATCAGTCGCCCGGCACGGGCAAAGGTTACATGCAACAGCAGCCTGCGCCAGTCTTCATTGGAGGGAAAGGGTCCTCATGGTCTTCGCCCTCGTGGGAGGCAGCCATGCGCGTGGTTCCTCGTGACGCGACGTAGTAGAATACCGTGGGGTCACAGAACAGGCCGATGGCAGCCGCCTTCGCTTCGCAGATGACCCAAACGTGGAGATCACGACGCTGGCCACCAATGACATCGGAGTCACGGAGGCTCTGCAGAAAGAGAAATCGTTCCGCCGTTCCTGAAGGCTACGGACGATTACAAGGTGGCACAGGCTCGGGCGCGTGAGTTACGAAGCCTTGTGCCGATGCATGTGAATGTCGAGCAATGGGCGCATTGGGTTTCTGGCGTGAAACTCCTTAATAAGACTTTACCCAGACAAGGATTTCGTAGCGCCTCGCCTCCGCCCGCCGGCCACGGATTTGAAGTCGCCCGTGCAGAGTGCGACCTCTGGCTCCGACTCGTCAGCGAATGCGTTGTTGAGTCTGCTCAACAGTCAGCTTGCCGCGTCGGGAACTTCGACCAACCAGGCGGCACCATCCTCCTCACAGCCGTCGTCGCCGCGTCCAACTCCATCCCCGTTGGGGTTTGTGTTCAAGGCCACGGTCAACGACGTCGAGGTCTCTGGGAAGGTCGTTAGCGTGGAGCTCAACGGCAATGCCCCGTCGTACAAGGGCAAGTGGGAGTCTGGGCAGGAGACGTTCATGTCCGACGAGCAGCTGCGTCCGCACATGGACTCTGCGAAGGAATCGCCAGAGAAGAAGCGGCAGAGAGCGGATGCACCATCAGCCCCTGAGGATTTGGCCGCGTGGGAGACTGCCATGAAGATGGCCGTAGACATTCCCGTCGGCAAGTGAAGGTGTATCCTCGGCACGGGTTCGATAGGCAGTCTGGCAAGCGCATCTTGAAAATCGTCCAGATGTTGTCCGGGCTGCTCCATTTCTTCGGCTGGATTTATCTCGCGAGTGTGGCTTTCAAGGCAATTTGCCGTGTTGCTGCGATGCTGATTGTATCCAGATGTCGATGTCCTGGTCTATGTCTTCGGCTGATACGTCTCCATGCTTACATGATTGCACACATTCTTCCGTATTGCGGTTGGTGCGCACTTTTCTGAGAGCATCTCGCGCTGCTGTTCGCAAGCCAGCGGGGTACCATAGCATCCAGGCTCTGCATAACATCGACAAGCATGCCGAAGTTCTCGTGCAAATTCTGGGAGTTCGCAGGTATGCAGACACTCTGTGCGGCGCGTGCGGGCGCGACCGGATGAAATGTTCATGCAACACCTCTTCCGCCATATCCGATCTCAATTATCGTTATTGCTCCTATTCCCTCATCATCTTGAACTACATCCGCACACTCATCAGCATGCGTGTCTTGCAGATCAGAGAGTTTGCCTGGCACAGGAAGCTGCACCAGTTGTTGATAAGGTCCACAGAGATGGTTTCTTCCAGCCGGCGCGGGTGCATTTCCGAGGGCCAGATCGTTTACATGTGGTATTCTACACACCATACATATACATACATCGGCAAATCCATCCGGGGACTGGGGGCGCGCACGGAGGAGCACTATTCACAGATCGTGGGCCAGCCAGGAGGAAAGAGGGATTTGCCTGCATATGATGTGATGCGTCGTCTTGGGTGGTCGTCATTTATTGTATGTCCCGTCGTTTGTCTTGAGCGTTCTCACGACTTGGAGCTGCAGTATGTGGAGCGTCAGTTGTGTAACGTACTCAATCCCAAGCTGAACACGCGGTGGGTGTACAAGTATACATGTAGGAGCCCAGCGCACAAACATTGTCATAGTCATGTTCTCCGTAGCGCGCACACTCGACATCGTGATCCTCATCATCATCTTCCTCGTTCTTCTCACAACGCTCATTTTGTGGGATGTGCTATTCGAACGTCGGATGACGTGGGGTGCGAGCCAGGTCAGCTCGCCGAACACTGCGCGCGTGGCCGGATCCACCTTGGCATCTTGGTTCTGAGGCTGCGAGACACGAGGGCGAAGGGCCAGAATGTCGCCAAGTGCGTTCAAAAGTTGTGCGACCGCTCTCCGGGTCTCATTCACCGGCTGCACAACGTCATCGATTCCTATCTGTATGGGGCGCCCAATTTCGTGGCGAAGACTCGTACCTCGGACGCGCTGACTCATGATAGTGCCCCGTGTACTACTGTTCTCCTTCGACTTCCTCTTCTCCCCGGGGGTGATGTTGAGCGACTCATGGTGGACAGCGCGAAGGAACAGATTGCCGAAGTCTTGCCTCCTAAAGCTCGTCTTACTCTGCTTACGAAGCCAGCCAAGTCCCCGTCGATTAACTCAAGTATGGTGAATATTAAATGGTGGGCGAGACGTCTTCCAGAGTATGATATTCCGTGTACGCGTTCTGCTTTGCGCGTCGCATTGGGGGAGGACGAGGGGAACGAGGGGAAGGCGCACTATTGCATTAGGTCTTCTACTAGTACGTTCGCACAAGCTTTCCCTAGCGCATTTTCTGCGGAGAGTGGTCTGATATGGCACCGGCAAAGCTTCTCACGACAATGTTCGGCACCCTTCCAGCACCTCGCAGACCGGGTTCGCACCATCATCCGGGGACCGTTTGCTCTCGACATGCACTCGTTTTGGGCGATCGTCAACAACATATTTGTGAAGAAAAAGCACTTCAGGGACATGGGGGTGCTCGAGGGAGACATGATGTCGCGGAAGGCGAAAGTAAATAACATCGCTGTGATCGGGCCCGTGGACAAAAACAAATCCATGAGTTCTTTTGGTTGTCCGAGGGTGCGGCAGAATAGGTGCCTCAATTTGGCGGTACTCCATGGCAACGCTGTCTTTGATTATCCTGGCGACCGCAAGTTTGAAAAGGCTTTGGAGGATGTGCAGACGCGCACAGCCTATTCTGGAGCACGCGTTGTTTCTCCTGCACGCCATGCTTTTGGGAATTTCCAGGGGTGGTTCAAGGATAGCGGGATCCACGCGAAAATGAGGCCACGGGGTTCGTACTTCCAGCACGCGCGCAAGCCATTATACTCATTAACGTGTCGCGTTATTAACCACATGATGTGCAAGCTTGGGGGCCGCAGTGCACGACGTGTTCTCCGTGGTTGACCAGTTCCACAATCTGAACGTGAGCACGCACGACCGGTCTTGCAGGGGATGGTTCGGCTACACGCGCGCGCACAGGCGGGGTATAAAGTCTTGCGTCAACAATGTGGACGGAGGTCTTATTTTGGTTGCCTGGCGGTGGTGTGTTTCCGAATGGGTCGCCCGATGGTTCCAGGAGAAAGGTGATATGCATCCCGAGGGACTTCTCGAATCAGCGCCGTCGTCAACGCCCAGTGTCGTCACATTCTTTTCACGGGTACTCGAAGAACATAATGCCTGCTAAGAGTGGCCGGTCTGTCCCTCGTGTTCAACAAGCACGCGTGGCTAACGACCATGTTGTTATACACATCGATGACATTGAGAGCATTGTTTTGTTTGATTTGTTGAGGGGGTATAGGCTGTTTGGCGTTAAGCTATTTCGCCCTGCGAACGGCATGACGCCAGGATCGCCGCTATCACTGGGAATGTGTCCGTAAGTATGCTGTTATCCAGAGAACATGTGCCATTCTGTGCCTGCCAGCGTGCCAGACACCATCATTTAACGTGCAGTGTGCAGATGGGTGAATGATATTTCACATGCGTTGTCGTCTGGATGCTCGTTCACAACCCGCAATTTGCGGCTGATTGCGCTGACCGGAACATGCAACTGTATAAGACAACGTATCACATGCTAGCCGTCTGAAGGTAGAGGACGCGTTCACTTTCGCAGGCTTGCGGGTTATCATTCACAAAGGTCGATTACTAAGCACGCACATGATTAACGTGAATAAGAATTGTCTGCGCGAGCGCAATGACATGATGCGGCCTACGTTTCAGCATTTTCTGTCTCATACTTCTTTAACGAGCAAGGCTGTACTCGTGCGTTCTCAATTCCTGCGTCCGTAGACAGATACTAGGTGGATTTCAGCTTGCTCGCACATGATATCAGCATTCTGTTTAGTGAGTTCGAGGCTTCACAGCATCATGCATGTTTCTTGCGCCGTGTTCTACACAGGCTTCTCCCGTATTTAGGTTATGTATTCTCGCATGTCTTGTCCTCACACGAGCAATCCCATGCACATTCCACACGTGATGCCACAAGGCCGAGCCGACTGACTTTGAGGATCTCATTCGGTCGTTTGCTCCGTGTTTGTTCTATACAGCAAAAGTAAACTGGGCGCCGGCGGTAAACCGTCAACCAGGCTACCGCCGCGAACCTCGTAGAGCTCCAGAGACGCTCGGAGAGCACAAGAAACAAGCAGAAGACTTCTGGAGTTATTTTGCGAAAACTGAAAAATTGCATTTTTGTGCGAACATTCTGCCAGCCGTTCCTCCTGACTTTCTCGAGCTGCAGAGCGGCTATTGACCTGGGGATTGCACCATCAAAACGAACTTTCAAATATCGCAGAGTCTTTAAAAAACCAAGCCCCAGGTCACCACATTGTCCGTTCTGGCCGGGTGGGCCAACTGGGAGTTGGCGGTAAACCGTCAACCAGGTTACCGCCGGAAGCCTCGTAGAGCTCTTTTCTCGCGCGGCGCTGCTCGGAACACATGGAAGAAGCTTTCTCAAGGGTGAGCTGAGAAACTCAAAAAAAAAAAAAAAAAAAAAAAAAAAAAACGCTTTCTGGTGTTAATCTAAAGTCGGTTCCCCCAAGTGTTTTGATAATAATACTCCAGCTACGGACCAGGGAATTGCACTGGCAGACGCGGCATAACCCACTACAGGTGCAAAAAATACTGGTTCTCAAAACGAATTTCAAAATCTCTCAGAATATCCGAAAAACCGACGCCAGGTCACCACATTGTCCGCCCGGGCCGGGTCGGCCACTAGCTGCACCCCGCGCCGGAATTCCTCCAGCTTATCGATGCCGAAGAGCTCTACGAGGTACTAGCTCCACGACGCCTCATCTCCTCGCGTCTCAGCTCGCGCAAATCGTTCGTCGCCTTCACCTTGCGTCTGCCTTCGTACTCGACGAGCCGTGCCCAGCACTAAGCATCGATCCCGCAATACTAATAAATCCCCTTCAGACGCGTCTGCATGACCGAGGTTGCTCCAAGCCGCTCGAGGCATGACCGCCCCGGCGGCTGTGCCGCCGCAGGCGCCTCGTGGCCCTGCGCGGACGCCGCTCTTGGCGACGCCGCTGCCTCCTGCGTCTCGGAGAAGGTCCCAACCACTCATGTCGTTCATTTGCAGTACTGGGAGCCGGCGATGAACCGTCAACCAGGTTCGTTTGTTTGTTTGGACTCGCATTCCCAGCTGAGAGCAGCTGGGCGAAAACAGGTCCCGCAAGAACACACGGGCAGCGCTAAGCAGCGCTTCGGCTGCCGACAATTCACACTCCGTGACCGTAGCACCGTCTAGGAGCCACGCGGCCTCGGCCGCATCCCTCCAAACGAGGGGAACTGCACTAGAAACAGCTAACTCATGCCCAGCAGGAAGGGGGCCCACGGTTCTCGCGGAAGCGATACCTATCTCACTGGGATTACATTGAGTATTGATCAAGCCGATCTGAAGCCAGAAGCCACATCCTGATCCTTGCTGGACAACCCCACCATCAAAGCCTCCCCTGATAGCGCACGGCAAGAGATAAGTTGCGAAAGGATATCGGTAACATCGGGTTATATCAAATGTGCGGCCACATCGGGCCTCATGCGTCAACTCGTCTGCACGTGCATTGCCCTCCATGAATTCATGCCTCCATATCTCACGTCCCAAAGCCGCAGGCCTCATATTGAAACACGTAGCAAGCTCAAAGGTACAGTCAATCATGGCAGC